CGACGGTTTTAATACATTTTCAGGTCAAAGATTTTCATGATGCGGTGAAAAGTATAAATGAGGAGATGAATTCTTTATGTTTGCATTTTTAAAACCAAACATGTTTTCTTTTTTCTTTTAAATGTTCTTGTTTCACTTGCAGGGGCACATGTCATTTAAAAAATAGTAAAAAATCAGCACATAAAGACAATCTGCTGATAATCTTCTCTTTTATTATTGTCATTCAGTGAATATAATGGTCGTAACTCTGCTCATATGCAGTATAAGATAACGCACATGTGAGCATAAAGCCACTAACAGAGCCATAAACAGAAGGGAAGTAAAAACGAGATTTAATTTTATGAGTGTATATTAAAAAAATCCCGACGTGTGTCTTGCACAAGAACACATTTGTGCAAAACTGATAGGACACACTGCCAAATGATATATCTGTGTGTGTCTGTTAGCAAAATATCTCAGAAACCCTTGGGTGGATTTTAATAAAACTCTCAGGTAGTAATCGCTGGATGTGCATCTGCAGCTGATTAACCTTTGGAGCCCACCTCATTCAAGATGGCCGCCACAGCCAACTGACCTCAACACAAAAATGGCTACAGCTCAGTCAGTTTTACATCGACTGTGTTAAAACTCGATGTGGTGGCTGAAAGTCATTACCGCTGCATACTCTGGGTTAACGTTTTCACAGCATCGCAAGATATTGTGCTTGAAGTCGGCTCTGGCCTGGTTTCACGTTGCAGAGTAGCTGTAATGACTGAGAAAAGCCTGAAAAATAGAATTCTCCGATAAAGGCAAAGAATATGTTGGTTTGTGGAAAACGCAGGTGTGGTGGCGCACTTACATCATTTGTATGTATGGAAACAAAGCAGCAACACCTTGATGAACTTCCTCATTAATACTTCGGCTTAATTAAGACCTGAGCCTCTCTCTCGAGTGCTCAGTCAGTGTGTGTGTGTGTGTGTGTGTGTGTGTGTGTGTGTGTGTGTGTGTGTGTGTGTGTGTGTGTGTGTGTGTGAGGAGATTAGTGGATCAGTACTTTGAGTGAAGTAGGAGGATCAGCATGTTTTCCTGGGTCCCCCCCGTCCTTCACCAGTTGAACAGACAAAAGCCTCCCTGGGCTCAGCTGGCTGTCTCCTGCGATGCTCTCCAAGCAGATGCACTCATGTTTTGACACCCCGGAACGAGGAGGAGGGAGGTCAAGCAGCCTGACGGGACTTTGTGTTGTACATGGTGTTTAGGGGTCGCTCTCAGCTCCTGGGGGTCACACACTAACGTGGAAAAGAAGAACTTAGGGAAAGTTGTGTGCAGGCGCGTCACAAGGTTTAAAGGACAAAGGGGGCTTAGCCCCCAGAAGACACAGAATTTTTGTGTACTAAATATTTGTTATGTGTCTATATATATATATATATATATATATATATA